GTACTCTCCAAATATGTATACGAGATGCTATAAACGCATATTGTAAAAGTTAACTATAACCGAATAAAAGGAGCCGGTCAAGAGGCCACCTTAACACCAAAAAAAAAAATATATATATAATAGATATTTTTTTAAACTCTAATAAATATTATAATTCTTAATTATTATTAAAAGCCTAAATATTTAGGCTTATTTTAATCTATTATAATAAATTATTTTTTAAACTTTAAATAATATTATAGTTCTAAATTATTATTAAAATTTAAATATTTAAACTTATCCTAAATTATTACTATATACAGTATTTCAATTTGCAATTCAAATAATTTAAATTAATTTAATAATTCAAATTAAATATATATATTATAAAAGCCTTTCAAAATGCATATCTTCTTTTGGGCCAAACTAATATAATACTTATAGATTTTTATCTTTCTAAATATAGTACTTCTTTAAATATATAATTAATTCAATTTTTTTATATAGTTCTACTACAATATATTTAGAAAGATCTAACTATTTTACTCTTTTATAATAATATAATCATCTCTAATTAATATCAACTCTGTTAATATTAATCTAAGATATAAATTGAATTCACTTTTACTAAAACATACCTATAATATTTTACCACCTATGTTATATTATCTCAAAAACTAGCTAATTAATCAATGTGAGGTGTTCTAAGTAAAAATGTTTTACACCCCAAAAACCCTTCCCAAACTTTAATTCTAACCTTAATATTAACTTTAATGTGAAAAAATTGATGTTAAGAATTTTATATACAAAATTTATAAAAACTTGGAAAATTTTAAAAAACATAATAAAAATATATAATAGATGCAAAACCACCATAGATACATTTTATAATAATTGATTAAATTTTTATATAATAAAATTATATTAAAATTCTTTTATATATATCAATACTTATATGTTTTCTCATTAATATCACTATCAACATGAATATAAAAGCGATCCAAACAGGTTGATATTAATGAAAGATAACTGTATATACTAATTTGCAAAAAATTATTTAATTTCGCAAAAGAATTTTTATTGAATATATGCAATTTTTAATCTTAATATTTATTATTCTTCTATATAATTTTGCTAAAAACAAATTCTAAATAATAAATTTTAGAAAAATTTTGTAGCTAATTCAACTGGATCATAATCATCCTCCTTTTCAAAATCTATTAGCCAATTATCATCCAAGTCTTGCGACATATCATTATTAGATTCTATTTCATTTTGCTTAGACTCTTTTGGTAAAAATTGTAATTCTGATAAATTCAATGTTTCCTCTAATATAATATCTTCCTCAAATGCAATACTATTATCATCATTATCGATCATATCTAAATCTACATTTGCTATAACTTGTTCAAAAGTTATTTCTTCAATATCTTCATAAAGATCTGCTTCAGTTAAAATTTGTCGAATATCTTCAACTGATTTACCAATTCCATAAAATGACAATTTAGATTTATTATTGGCAATATAATAAGAATGAAGCTAAGCAATTGCATTTAAATTTTCTACTAACAATCTTGTACAATGCTTTCCATAAATTCATCCACATATTGACCAGATTCGTTCACAACTAGCAGCCTGTGGTGAAACAGTAAATAACTTGATTGCTAAATATTGCAAATATGGTATATTTGTTTCACAAGTAGTCTACCAAGTACAAGGTGTATCATAATTCATTGTATATGATATATTATAAGGAGGGTTTTTAATATGATAATCACGTAATTGAGCTATCAAAATCTCTCCAGCAGTTTGTTTGTAGTGCTTATTTTTTTTAATAAAGTAATAATATCATTTGTTCGCATCATTTGTTGCCACATTCTTGCAGCAGTTGTACAGATTCGTAAAAATTGACCTTGTACAATACCAACACCTATAAATATTAAATATTAATAATTACAAGAAAATAAAATTAAATAATATATATATTAATATATACAGTACCACGATATCCTGGATGCAAATAATAGGCAAGTAAATGTTCATCAAAATCAAATTCCTGGAATCGTGTATTAAACTTTTGTATACAATAACGATAAAATATTTGATGATCAGAGTCAGATATATTTTTTATAGCTGCATCAAGTTGTGCGAGTCCAAAAAACAATCTGCAAGACTTGCATACTGGCTTTCTAAATATGTAATCATATTTTTAATTGGTTTAATAATTGCCAACAGATCTTGAACATCATAAAAAAATCCTCTCTTTCATAAAACTATAGTTTTGACAGCTTCATTTGTAATAATTTCAAAATTTTCATTAATAACCTATAAAAAATTATTTATTTAAATTATTAATAATTATTATAGCAAAAGCTACAAAAATAATCAAAAATTTTACCTCTTTCAAACAAGTTTCAAGTCAATAAATTGATAAAAGCATTTCATATGCTGTTATCTACCTTGTCTCAACATATGTTTTTAATCCTCCTCCTCTAATATTTTTTCTTTAATTTTAGTTTCTAGCAAATTCTTAGGTAAATGACTTTTATTAAAATAAGTCACTACTACATTCGACCACTTAAAATTCTTGCTGCAAACGTATACTTAACAATATCTTTAGTAATTAAGTTGAGACAATGAGCTATACAACGAATATTAATGATATGTGGAAATTTTTCAGTAATTATTCGTCGTGCTAAATTTACATTTGATCCAGCATCAGTTACTATTGCTGCAAATCTGTGAACTCCAATATCATTTAAAACTGATTCTATTTGTTCAGCAAGAAATTGTCCTGTATGACTTTGATTAGAAATATTACGTATAGACCAAAGTATATCTTTATTGTCTGATGTATGAATAATAAAATTCCACAATGAATTACCCAGAGGATTTGACCAGCCATCTAAAGCTACAAGTAATAAAATTAATTAATATTATATTTAAACAATAAATATTTAAATAATACAACTAAATTATTATTTACCCAAAGTTAAATTGCTTTCTTTTTCAAGTATTTGATATATTTTGGTATGTACACATAATATTTCATTATCTAACAATGTATTTGAAAGTGTATATCGATTTGGCGGACAATAAGAAGGTCGTAATTGTTGTATAAGCTCAATAAAAAATGGATATTCAACCAGATGCCATGGAATTCCGCAACAAGCAAAAAATTTGATAAGTGCATTTTCAATGAATTCCTTTTTTTCTTGAGATAATTGTTGACTTTCAAAATAGTCCATTAAGCTTCTTTGATCTTCACTAATTTTTCGCTTTTGTCCAGCAATATTTGTTAATGTTTTTTGATTTCGTGACTCTATCATATATCGTATAGCTGCTTTTGCCTCTGGTTTGGCTTTTTTACAATCGACTAAATATGACGTTCCATTGTAGATAATTTTGCTCTTCTCTAATATGTATCACAATTGGGACAAGTAACTAAACGATGACCTTTATCAATTTTCTACCTTCTGTAAAAAAATTCCATATTGCTCCATATGGTCTTCCAGAAGGTTTTTTAGTTGACTGGATATTATCTTGATTTGCATCAATATATTCTTCGCTAGTATCAACATCAGAAAATTCGTTTGATATTTTTTTAAGAAAAATATCTAATTACACTATTGTTGTGAATTAAACAAGTTTAACTTAAATTTTGATTATTTGTTTACTTGATGTAAATTATATATTGTTAGCGTATGCACATCACACTTGTACTACCCTTTTTGAATTCAAAACACCATTAAATATACTGTACGTATATAATATAATATAAATTAACTAAGATCTAAGATAATAAACCTAATTTTTTTCAATTTATTTAAACGATAGTATGAAACTTGCTTTGAATTATGTGATTAAAATATAATTGCTATAATGTAAAATCTAGAATTTTTAGATGAATATATTATTAGATTTAACTTACAAAAATTAAAAAAATAATGACTAAATTTAATAAAGTTGCCAAATATTTACCTTTTTTAATAATTTTTTGCTGCTATTACTTAATTTATAAAATAATTTAAGTATAATAGTATTTGCTTGTATAAACTTCTAACCAGTTTCAAATAACAGTATCCTACTACATTCCATTAATTGCTATCCTCAATTACTAAGATTATATTGACCATTCGATTTGCACTTTTTGCAGATTTTAAATTATTAAATATCTTTCTTATTTCTAGCTTTGTCTATACCTTTGCTATATCATTATTATAATCAATTCTACAATTATTACTTATCCGAATTGTTCTTAGCAGAATTTAGATGTCTCGCTTAATCTTTGACAGTAATTATACCGTTTCTGTAGTAGAATCTGAAGATTACATTTTTCATATAAGATTACGTACATATGTACGTATGTACAATATAAATTGTTTGCTATATCAAAAAACACAATTTTTTAGAAAGAAAGTGACAAATATTTGGTCTGACTCTAGAAGTCAATTTTTAATTGAATTCAGGTAGTATGATGTATATACACATATATACGTACGTATATATGTGTATACTAGCATAGCGAACTTTTATTGTGATTGGCTGATTTTTGTAGATCATCTCGTCATACTAAAGTATTATTAAAGTAACG